AATAATAATAATAATAATAATAATAATAATAATAATAATAATAATAATAATAGTAATAATAATAATAATAATAATAATAATAATAATAATAATAATAATAATAATAATAATAATAGTAATAATAATAATAATAATAATAATAATAATAATAATAATAATAATAATATATGATGAATCATCGTGATGACAATGCCCACGCGAGCGTCACGCAACCGTGATAATTTCCACGCGCGAGTGTTTAAAGATATTTCACTTTCAGAAACTAGAATAAAATCAACATACATATCTGGGCTGCCTATGGACTAACATATCTCAGATGAAAGAACCTACCACAGCTAGTAAAACCCTTTTTGTCAATATAGTCGTAATATTCTTTTCCTGACACGCTGGGAGAGCTTTGTTTTTTAATGTTATGCCACATTCATTCAGTCTGACCAGATTCATAAATGTCACTAACTTGTATATTTCGAAAATATACCAGAATTCAGAAAGACCGATTATTCTTTCCTTGATTCAGTTGATTGATTTAGTTGATTGATTTTAAAAAAAAACTATAAGTATAATAGAACATTCCACGTGTTTCCATCCCCCCTAGGCCTAGAATTTTTATCAATATGTTCTATTTTTCTGTGGTGACGGCATAACAAAATACGACACAAAAATGTACATTCGAATTTATTGCCGAGTTTACACTACGAGCCTAGGCCTAGCTTTTGACTAGATTTTTGTAGTGTAAACGCACAGAACAGGTGTTCCACATTTCCTAACCTATAGCTAGGCCAGGCCCAAAGTGCATTTACACTACAAAAATCTAGTCCAAAGGTAGGCCAGGCTTAGGCTCGTAGTGTAAACACGGCTTATGACCGACATATCAGAATGTTATTTATGAAGTTTCCATTGAATTTACTTAAAGCGAAATAAATACTAATAAAAATAGGAATTTTATATGCTGGGTTAGTAAGGGAAGCCTCACCATACCTAATTTTAGTGTGCAGTGATAACCAATTTGTGCAGTGATAAAAGTAAAATGTGCAGTGATAAATTGTAAAATGTGTAGTGATAAAATTTGCTGTGATAAGTTATTAGTTAAAAGAAAATGAGGCAATGGGCAGAAAAACTGAACTAAAAATTCGTCTTGACACTTGACAGTATTAATCAAAACATTTTTTTAATTGAATGAGAATAATTTGAAAACTATCGAACGTCCGCACTTATATTATACTTAATTAAGGTTCATCAAATGAACAAATTCTCTCACCAGAAATCTCTTTATGAGCTTGGAAGATGGAGTGAATGATACTTAACCTTTTGTAATTGGTGTATAATCTTCAGAATTCTATATATACGATTGAATATTCCCGCATATTGCAGGAAATGCCCTTTTAGAAAGCCTAGATTAGAAACTGATTTTCTGTGGGTATACGCCCCTGGAACTCATCCAGAGGTTTGTCACGCCTAAGCCTTCTTTCATTTTCCAAAGATGCAAGTTCTGTCAAGGCCGTCCAGAGTGGTAGAGGGGCAATTTGCCCTGGGACCCCAGTTAAAGGGGGCCCAAATAAAGACTTGAAAGTGAAATATACTTAAATATTTAATTATAATAATTAACTTGACAGTGAAATATACATAAATATAACTGTCAATTCTAGACTTCCAGAATGCAGGATTTGGCCATTTCTGGGACCTGAGATTTCAAAATTTTCCCGGGGAGAATGCTCCCGGATCCCTCTAATCATAGTGTTAGAAGATGGAATCACAAGCGGCTCCTAGTCAAATTTTGCCCTAGGCCCACAAATTAATTTCCCTAGGCGACCCTGGGTGCTGTGCAGTGTATGTTGGTTTTGGCATTTTTGAGTAATATCAATTGTAGTCTTTTTTGTGGTTACACGTTGTTATAAGGGTGTGTTCAGATATTTTCAGGGCGTGCTTCTGCTCGGCTAAATTTGCACAAAAATGTGCAGTGATAAAAAATTCTTAAAATTTGGTATGAGCCTCACATATCGATTTTTTCCACGAGAAACGTCATATGTTCGTTTGGGGGTGGGGGGTTGGCAGCTGTGACGTTTCTCTGTAAACATCATGGAAAAATTCGATAGTTTTTATCTTTGCAGAATATAAAAAAGAAAACAATTTGATACAAACAGCAGTCTATATATTCGTAATACCATACCTGTTATATACCTATACATTTATTTTATTACGCCTTCCTTGCATTGAAAACACTCAAATTAAAAAAAAAACACGCTAAAACTATCAATATTTCATGCAAAAAAAGTTGTTTTGAGAAACATTGGAAATTTTGAAGTTCATACTTATATTAATAAAAAAGAGTATGTCAGCAGAAGATGACATATTCCTCGCGGAAGCATCGCCAATAGCCGACCGAAAAAATAGTAGAAAATTACCTTGTGTGTACTATAAGAACAAAATATCGATAACTATGTGTGACGTTTCTAAGGGGGGGTGGGGGGGTCTCCAGAGAAACGAACATATGACGTTTCTCGTGGACAAAATCGATATGTGAGGCTTCCCTAAAAGAAAAAGCATAATTTTAATTGTATGTTATTTCGATGAATATCACATCATTACACGTTTGAAGCGAGCAGACGTATGGTTTTGAGCTCCTCGATTTCTCTTTAGAATCGCTCTGAAGTTAATAAATTTTCTCATAAATATGAGCACGACAACTAAACTGTTTGTTGATGGTGGAATATATCGGTTTAATGGTTTATTATCCGACTTAAAGCACTTTGTCGATGAAACTTTGGGACTTAAAGGGAATTGGAGTTCCCCTGGCGGTGATGTCAAGCTCTTTAATGCCGCATGCAGATTCTGGATATGCTATCAAATGGTACGGTCACTCTAAAAAGCTTGTGATTCAAACTGATAATGAACTAGTACTTGAAGCGGAAATTTGCGAGTTTGGCGAATCCAGTTGGGAGCGACGTGGTGGCTGGCGCAAGCAACGGTGTTTCGGTATCTAAGGTATACACATGTCCTTATACTTGTGTTAACAGAAATATAGTCGCTGAACTCGAGGGTGTAAAACTCGATATGACGATTTTAGAGTCCCGTTTATTTACTTCAATTTCCCAACAAGAGTCTAAATCTGACGATATTAACTCACTTCGCGCTAAACAGAAGGACATGGAGGCCATTATAAATAAAAAAGACGAAGTAATCTGCAAACTCAATGAGGAAATTCAATACAGGGTGTATCAAAAAAGCGCAACCTCGGAATTTCCCAAGACATCGACATTGTTTTAAAGACAAAAGATTTTAGGCGCCTGGGAATTTAAAATAGCATAACTGTCAAAATTACTGCACACGCGAGTGCATAAAGCAAAATTTATGCATTTATTTAAGGCACAACAACAGTAATATGATCTATTAGCAATTCGATTTCAATTCCCAGGGGCCTAAAATCTTTTATGCTTAAGAATTGCAAAGTGATTTCTTAGGAAATCCCGAGGTTGCGGTTTTTTGATACACCCTGCTGTACATTAAGACAAAATTGTTATCCCTTGAGCGCGGTGGAGCCCAAAACGACCTTGCGAACAAAGATCGTGGATTAATTAATGTATCTAATGAAATTTCTAACAACTCTAAGAACAAAGACCCTAGCCAAGATAATAATGTATTCAATACAATGGATGATTCATTTGGTTCTACCAACGAGTTACCTACTATTATGAATAAGAATCAGTTAAGCTCAACTATTATTGAAATTCCTTCGTCCAATCGTGAAGATCAACATGATAATTTGACAAACGCCACTGTAATTGTAGATCAATTAACGAACCCCTTATTGGCATACACCAAAGATGCACCCCCGAGTAAACAACAAGGAATTATTAAGGCACATAGAAATAGAATACCTATTTCAAGATTGCAAACACAGCCGTCTAACTATGAGCAGACTCCTAAAAGCACTATTCCTTGCCCTTTTCTCTCGCGGCGGAGTTGGTGTATTAAGAAGCAAAACTGTGATTTTAAACACCCACAACATTTGCACCCAAAAAATCCATCGGATAATATGCCTAAATACAGAATACGTTGCCCCTTTCTACAAAGGAGAGGGTTTTGCTTGAAAGGAGACCAATGCGATTTTTCACATAGTGATACCTCAAATATTCCGTCGACTCAAAGGCCTAACATGAACTATCCTAGTCCTTTTTTATCCTACCAGCAAAGGAAAATGACCCCAAATTACAACTGGCAAGTCCCCCCAAACTATCCCATGATACCATGGTCAACCTACCCGTGGCGAAAACCCTTAATGGATATCCCAATATATTCACCTCGTGTAGTACATCAACCAACCTACCCCCTCCACCTACGACCCCCCGTTTATTGAGTCACGCGACCTCCCCCCTACGCACATTTAGAAATTTAATAACTGTTCCACTCACCAAACATACAACAAATACGAATAAGAGTCAACTTAGAACCTGCTATAAATTTCCCTACTCGAGGAATTAATACTCTTGATCAGATTTTTACCAATCGTAAAAACTTTTATAATGCAGCAGAAAGTGGTCCACCGTTTGGTTTATCTGACCATGTCACGATCACTATGATTCCAGCGAAACGTGTCAATTTACGACCCCCAAAAAACGACTATAAAAGTACGGGATAAAAGACCAAGCAATGTTGCAAGCCTTGGCCGTTTCCTTTTAAATATCCCGTGGGAAAATATATTGTCATATCTGCGATCTTCTGATGACAAACTAACAACATTTACAGAAATAATAAATTATGGTTTAAATACCATAATGCCAGAAAGATCAATTAAAGTAAGTCCAAATGATCGTCCGTGGATGACTAGCCATTTGAAGCGCCTTATTTTACAAAGACAAAAAGCATTTGCCTTAGGTAACAACTTCATGTTTAAATTGCTGCGAAACAAAGTAAATCGGGAAAGAAAACGTTGTCGTAAAGTATACTATAAGAAAAAAGTTGGCAACCTTCTGGATTCGAAACCTAAAGACTGGTGGCGAGAGGTAAAACAGCTCAGTGGTCAGCAATCAACACGGCCAGACCTCAGATCCATGATTAGATTTGACGTTGAGGACAGTGATGAAGGTTTAGGAAATAGGATTAACGAGGCCTTTATCAGTGTCATGAAAGATTCCCCCCCGCTGCCTGAAGATTTTAACCTATCGACTGACAATGATGAACCAATTAGCATCTCAGAAACAACAGTGGAGCGGCTACTATGCGCAATCAGTGTTTCCAAAGCTAGCGGTCCTGATGAACTCCCCAATTGGGTTCTAAAGAGCTTTTCTGACATTCTGGCACCTGCGATTACTGATATATTTAACGCATCCTTCCGTGAATGCAAGGTGCCGAGGGTATGGAAAATAACAGATGTGCCAGCTGTTCCTAAAGCCAAAAACATTACCGATTTTAACAAGGACTTCAGGCCAATATCCTTAACTTCAACATTGTCAAAAATTGCAGAAAACCTCATAATCGAGTATGAATTAAAATCTAAACTACTAAGAAAGATGGACCCAAGGCAATTTGGCTTTATCCCAGGATCAAACACGACTCTTGCGCTTATTTCAATGGTGCATACCTGGCTAGATGCACTTGATGGGACGGGTTCTACAGTAAGAGTCGCTCTACTTGATTATCGCAAAGCCTTCGACCTATTCGACCACAATCTACTTGTTGCAAAACTATCCCATTATGAAATAAAGCCAACGGTTGTAAATTGGATAGCTGACTTTCTTCGTGGTCGAACTCAGAGAGTTAAGATTACTCCATATGATGAAAACTCTGATTCCATCATTTTTTACATTTTTATATATTTGAATTGAGGGGCTGAAAATCTTTCGATCCTCAAAGATTATTTTCAAAAATATTAAAATGCGACCGAGATATAACTGAAAATGTTTTAAATTCGAATAGTTTTGCCGCGAAAATAGTAATTGTAATTGACATTCTGCTAATTGGTGTGAACTCATTACCGGATCCGCATGCAGGTGAGAAATATTGTAACACCGCACCACAGATCTCCTACATTTACGTTTTGCTGATTTAGCTTACTTCGCTTTGCTCTCCCTACATTTGCGTTTTGCCGGCATATTTAATGTTTTTGTTTTGCCTGTTACGCACTTATAACAAACTAGATCATCAATAAATGACGCAGAACCACCTTGCCAAAAGTACTTTGACGAGGTTCGATCTGATTGGCTTACAGTTTGAAGTGAGAACAGAGGGCGGAGAAACACAACAGGGAGCGGAAAAACCCCCGCGAAATCTCTTTTAGCCTTTTACACAGAATGAAATATTCCCAGATTGTCCTCACAAAAAGACTAATGAACCGTGCACGTTTTATCCGATTCCTTCCAAACTTTGCCACAATGTAGAACAATTGTTAAGGAGCAAAAGTGTGTTCGCGTTTTTCGTTTAACGCCATACTTTTCGAGTTATAGGCATTCGTTCTACCGTGTATACAAAATTTGTGTAAGTCAACTTGTCTGCTTTATATCAAAGCAAATACAATAGCTGTCAAAAAATGCGAACACACTTTTGTTATTTGATCATCTGAGCTGGGAAATATGATGTTTTGCAGGTCCTACGGTTAAATCGGCGGCGTGCAAATCTCGTGACGCAAAGGAGGTCAGATTTTCAAAAGTAGCCCGTAGCAACCACAGTGTTTTAAAATATAACATTTTTGTTAAATTGCTGGTTACAACAATGATTTATCATCACGTACACAAAATTTGACGGCAAAAGCGTAAAAATTGAGCGCGCGGTGAGCATTTTTGTAAAACGCCATTTCATCATGTGGAGTAACCTTAAAATAAACTCTGTGTGCTCAAATTTTTTACAAGTTCCTGCAGGTATTCCACAGGGAACGAAAATCGGTCCCTGGCTATTCCTAGCAATAATAAATTATCTCTGTATTACAAAATGTCCGACTAGCAACCTGTGGAAATTTGCAGACGATACTTTGGTTTCCGAAGTTATTCCAAAAGATGGTGTTAGCTCCCTGCCAGATAAAGTAGACGAAGTAAATAAATGGTCGAATGACAACAAATTTCAACTGAACCCTGGTAAATGTAAAGAGCTGAGGATAAACTTTACGACGCAACCATTTACTGAGGAACCCCTAAATATAAACGGGAAGCCATTTGAAATTGTAAAATCCGCAAACGTTCTGGGCATGATAGTTACCAATGATTTGAAATGGAACAAACATGTAAGCAATACCGTGGAAAAGGCTTCTAAGGACACTACGGATTATCCACCCGGACTTGAGTTACATCGAAGCATTAAAAAAGGCAAAATTGGAAACTTTGTACGATCGAAGAGAAAAGTTGTGTGTAAAACTATTTTCATCAATCGAAGCAAATGATGATCATAAGTTAAAAGAACTATTGCCGCCGAAAAATTTACAACCAAACAATCTCAGAACAAACAGAAAATATAATCTTCCCATGATGCACACGAACAGATTTAGTAATTCCTTTATTCCATATTGCGCACGTAATGCAACCTTGTAGGTAATTTCAGGTCGTTAATATTTTAAATAGTTATGAACATACATTTACATTTAGATTTTAGACTTTTTACTAGAGACAACACAATATGTACAGTAATAAACAGGATATGTAAACATATATATAGGTACATACATATATTTATAAATATATATATATTCGTATATTTTCACTCTGTAAATTCAATAGTAATTCAGTCACAAGACTGTAAATATTGATTTAATTAAACGTTCTATCTATCCATCATCTATCTATCTATAAAAAAATTATACGCATTGTTTATATAAGAGGTCCTGAAGTGGTAAAATGGGAACTAGGATTTGCTTATTTTTGGGTGGGAAAATGGGATTTCGTGTACTGGGACTGGGATTCATCAGCAAAAAAACAATACAAAATGGGAATGGGATTAAGATTTGAGCAGGACAGCTACAGAGATATTATGGGAATTGTGCTCTGGGACTATGGGATTTAGGAGTAATTCCATGCCA